TGGAATAGGGAAAAGAATTTTTCGATCAATTTTATCATTGTCTGTAATGTTCTGCTTACAGAGTTTCAGCTGCTAGATAATTTGGTACAGAGCTGAATCATATTTAGTCATGTATTTGAAATCCAAAAAGTTCTGATTCAGTCTGCCAGTTGCGTTTGAGGGAAGATTATTGGTTTCCATAGATCAAAGCGATCCTTCAGGGATTGCCCAGAAAAGTGAATACTTTTTCAGTGAGGTATTAATTTTTCACGTCTTAATTGATAGAGAGAAAATTTAAAGTGTTTGTCTTTTGGACAAAGATACTTAAAGAATCAAGAGATATAATCGTGCAAAAATCACAAGGGTGTCCAGTAAAAATGAACGTTCGAGGCCAAAGACAAGTAATAATTACTATTATATATCACAGTGCACTAATCATGGGGATGAAAGATTAGTACATGAGAAATTAGAAATATTCACATTTTAATAAGATCACACATAATCACCAAAATCAAGTATGAAAAAGTCGAACATGAAATACATCATAAATGTTTTCGGATGTGCAGTTTATGTTCCAATATCACCATCCAAGGATTAGAAACATTATACAAGCATGGCATTTTATGCTGAACAATGGAAGATATAAGTGTCAATATAAATAAGAGAAGAATAGATAGAGTTCCTAATATAATTATGCACATTGTAATTAATACATCACAGAAAAAGGGAATGCATGAATATTCCAAATGTCGTTCTCATTCCCAACAAGACATAGCTCTTCGTCTTACCAATGGCAATCTTATACGCTAATAGTCAAAGTAAGTGTAAGGGAAAAGTTTACATGCAACACCTCTAACTCACTTAAAATAAATGTTAAATTACTTTTAATTTTGTAGTATGTAAAATAACCAAGTACAAAGTTTCTTTTCAATCCAGACAACAAGCACAAGTAAGTTATTTTAATGTCTAATATTGCAGATAATAGCATCACTTGATTGTATAAAGAAGCAATTAAGTACCCCAGGGTGAACTAGTAAGAATGAAATGAATTTTGACTTTAGTTCCTAATAACAAGAATCATTTATATAATCTCAAGGAGTTCACTTTTTGTCATGCATCTGTTGAAAACAACGAATTAAAAAAAACCTGGCTTTGTAAGGAAATAAACAATAAGATCCTCTACAACAACAAAAAACTTCAATTTGAAACTGTACATACATATATTGAGCAAAATATGATTGTTTTTGTTTCATAATCTAGTTTGCCATTTTTCAAACATCTTTTACAATATTATTATTATTATTATTATTTATATTCTTAAGTAGAACAATCTGAAATTATGCAGGTGCTAGTTTCCAAAAACCATGGGCCAAGTTCAATAGATTATATCTTTCAACAAGTAATAATTATGGTCTTCGGGAAGGGGAAAATTATGGTCTTCATATGAGAGGCTTTCAAACTTATTCAACAATATTAACTCCTAATTATGATAATATTTGACCTCAATCTTTTGCTTTTTCCACAAAAACTCAATTGAAAATCAAATAGGTCACATGGTACGGTCAACAAATTACTCCACTTCGGCTCAAACTCAATTTAGCTAATTAATGGAGATAGAATTAATGCAAGACATTCACCTTATTATACATAAAAAGGCTGTGCTTATTGCTCACTGGTTAGTGAAAATTTTCATGCTAATGCAAACTTTCACAACAGTACTTAGCCAGCATATATACATATTCTAACTGCATGCTCATAAAATAGGGAAGAGTACTAATTAACCTTGAGGTTTTGTGCAGATATCAAAATAACCCTTATCTTTAAGACAAATACTTTATCTCGAAATATAAAATAAAAGATATGCTAGAGAAGAATAGATTTTGCAAATATCTCTTACCACCAACGGACGATTACGAACCGGCTAGCTAGAGCACTCGTGTTGATAACGTGTTGTAATCTTGTTGTTATATCTACATACATCACATATCATAAGTAAGAATCAAACATGAAATGTAAGAGTAAATAAATAGAGAAGAGAAGAGATAGGGAGAAAGTGATCATCTCATTTTATTCATCCTCATTTCTCCATACATTTTGTCTTCCATGAATTACATTATATAGATGTGGAAGAGAATACTAAAAGTCACAAGTAGGTGAAGAGACTTCTTCTAGTAATGTCCCCATTCATTGTATTTATATTTACAACAGCTATCAATTAGTTTTTTAGCATACAAAGAGAGCTTTATCCTTATGGTAAATTACACTCAACACCATGCACTTTTAGCTTTTTGCAATAAACCCCTATGAAATTTCACAGTCACACTAAACCCCAATAACTTTTCTACTTTGTAGAAACCCCCCAATAAGTTTCTGCATTTTGCAAATAATCCCATAAGTTAAACCAAAAAATAACATAATAAGGCATTTTAAAAGTTATTGGGGTTTGGTTTAGTTTATCATTTAGTTTAGTTTATCCAAAAGACATTGGGGATTATCTGCAAAAGTTATTGGAGGTTTAGTGTGGTTTTGAAAATTCATAAGGGTTTACTGCAAAATGCCGAAAGTTCATGGTGGCTTAGTGTAATTTACTGTTATATTCCTGAAGTGTTATTTCGATCTATAGCTTTTTTTTAACATTATTCCCGACATATATGTACAGAGCCTTGTAATTTTCAAAGCTTTGTTCTGTAATAAGACCATGATGCTAATGTTAATTCTAATATGAGATAGTGAAATATGTTTTTGTTAGATCTATTATTATTTGTAACCAGTGCATAATCATCCTTGATTATGTTCTTAGAATCAGGTGTACATGAGTAATTTTAAAAAATATATTATGATTTTATACATCCATGACACCAATTTTCATTCACCAAGTTCATATAAAGTACTCGTCAGCGAGGAAACTCCAAAGTTCCCAATCTCTCGAAAAAAAATCTTAAGCTCACTTCATAACTTCAGTTAACTAATTGCTCTAAATATTTTCCCCCTGCTAATAGAAGCTTTTGGGATAACAAACAACATGATTGATTGTAAGAACATAAAACTGAGTTAAAATCATAAACATGATATGTAGAAATTAATATTAGGTACAAGTCGAGCTCACCCTTGTAGAAGGAAAAGACCGAGGACCAACCATCGTCGAAGAAGCAAGAAAACAGAACATTTCTCTGCTGGTTTTGGGTCAGAAACGACGATCGATCACTTGGAGGTTGCTGATGATGTGGGCAGGCAATCGGATGGATGGAGGGGCCGTCGACTACTGCGTGCAGAATGCCACCTGCATGGCTCTTGCAGTGAGGAGGAAGAGCAGGAGGGGAGGTGGATATTTGATTACCACCAAGAGACATAAAGATTTCTGGCTTTTGGCTTGAAGATTAATGTTAGCAAATTAGTTTGGAGGAGGAAGTGATTGATTTTTTGAAGTTGGTTTCTTTTTTTTTTGTGTGAATGCCATTATTGTAATGTCTTGTAAATGATGTAGTTGTAGAAAGGTAAGTTCCACATATATGCATGTTGTATGTCCTGGTGTTTTTGCAATTGGAAAACCCACATTTTTTGCTTAAATTATGAGATGAATAAACTGTTCAAGTGTGTTTGTATTTGATTGTAAAATTTATTGCTTGAAAAGAGAATTACTGTTGATTTTTCCTTTTTTTTATGACTTGAGACATGTAAAGCTGTTCAGTATGCACAACTTCATTAACTAAGATTCAAGAACTGTTCATCTATATGTGGCCATTCACATTTTCTCTCAGCATAACTACCAATTACAATGGACTATCAAGTTAGCATCAAAATCAAAAAAGTTCACATATCGATTCAAATAAAAAATATGTAGATACCACGGTTAATACATTAATACACAAACTATATATAAACCATCCCCAAAAACTGTTGTGTGCAGCGAAAATTTCGACAGCATCTCGGCAACACAACAAGAGAGTCAGGTCGCAATAGGAATTCTCGTTTTACCAAGGAAACAAGAACCAAAAGTAAAATATCTCAACAAAGTGGGATATCAGCTCTTCCTCTCATCAGTTCTAGGACTGACCTGTCGAGCGAACCTAAATAAGCTATTACAAATCACACAAATAGCGAGATAACCAATTTTACGTGGTTCGACAAATTGCCTACGTCCACGGGGTAAGAAGGGGGGGAGGGGAGATCTACTATTAGAGAGAGAATACAAATAGGGTTTACAATTACACAAATTAAACCCTCACACAAACTCTCAAATCTCTCACAAAGGCTGCTTGAAAAAGAGCACGAAATCCTTCTGCGTTTTCCCACTTTTACACGCCACTTTCCGCCTCTACTATTTTCTTTTTCACCAGTTGTTTTTCTCCTCTGCCTGCACTTGCGCACTCATCACGAAAACCCTAGCACCGTTATTTATAGGTTGCAGTACGTGGGCCTTTTCCGTACCTGCGAACATCAAACCACATCACCCACGAACCGCGCTTCACGTGGGTAGGTCCCATATCATTCACAATTCTCCACCTCGGCGATGTTTTCCCAAAACTGAGCCGACACCAAAGCAACCAAGTGTCCCACTTGTTGTGTCCAGTACGCCGAGAAGTTAATTCATGACAACGGACTCAATCCAAAACAAGTAAGGAACCTGAACGAGAGTCCAAACAATCTCACTCCCATAAAAATCAACTAATCCAAACCGGCTGCATCTGAAAGACTGCCTATGTATCCTCTTGCCCAAGGAATCAAGCCGAACGTAGTTCACCCAAATGGCCGTTAACGGCCTCAATAATTACGAATATGCAATAAGCTTTGATAATAATCAAACTTGTTGCTCGGAACCACCTTAGTGAGCATATCCGTCGGATTATCCTTCGTGTGGACTTTCATAATTTCCACATTGCCATCTTCAAGAATATCTTAAACGAAGTGATAACGAACGTCAATGTATTTCATCCTCGCATGAAAAACTTGATTCTTCGCCAAATAGATAGCACTCATGCTATCACAATGAATAGTGACGGACTGCTACGATATACCAAGTTCCTCCAAAAGTCCTTAAAGCCAAATAGCCTCCTTCATAGCCTCCGTAATAGCCATATACTTTACCTCCATCATAGACAAAGCCACCATAGGCTGTAAGGTGCATCTCCAATACACCGACGCATGGGTCAAAGTGAACACATACCCCGTCGTAGACTGGCGCTTATCCAAATCCCCAGCATAATCCGAATCAACGTAGCCAATACATAACTACCCACATGTAGTGCCCCGCTCATAAATCAAACTAACATTGAGCGTATCTCGAATGTACCTCAAAAGTAATCTCACAGCGTCCTTATGACCCACTCCTGGATTGTGCATGTATCTCAAAACCATGCTCACCGCCTGTGATAAATCTAGCCTCGTACATACCATCACATATATCAAGCTCCCAACCACGCTCACATATGGAGTCTTCGATATCAACTCTCAATCTTCAACTGTCTTCGGTGAAAGATCAACTAAAAGCTTCAAATAGGCTTCCAATGGTACACTAACGAGCTTCATATCCATGCTAACATGAAATCGTTGTAGAACCTTCTTCAAATAAGCCACCTGTGTTAAACAAATTCTGCCCTTCTTCTTGTCTCTACCGATCTCCATCCCTAAAATACACTTCGCCTCACCCAAATCTTTCATCTCAAACTCCTTTGAAAGTTGTTCCTTCAACTCATCTATAGCATATCTGGAAATAAAGGCAACCAACATGTCATCGACATAAAGTAACAAATAGATGTACACACCTCCTTTTAACTTGCGAAAATATACGCAAGGATCAAACTGGCTCCGAGTGTACGAAAGACCAATCATAAAACTATCGAATCGCATATACCACTGTCGAGAAGACTGCTTCAAACCGTATAGCGATTTCTTCAATCTGTAAACCAATTTTTCCTTCCCTGCAGCTCGAAATCCCAATGACTGAGTCATATATATTTCTTCATCAAGATCACCATGAAGAAATGTCATTTTCACATCCAACTGATCTAACTCCAAACCATACTGTGCCACCAAAGCTAGCAAAATCCGAATCGAAGAATATTTTACCACCGGAGAGAAAACCTCATTATAGTCAATACCTTCCTCCTGTGCATAGCCCTTCACAACCAACCTAGTTTTGAACCTCAATGGAGTGTCCTTAATGCCCTCCTTCTTTGTGTATACCCACTTGCAACTAATTACCTTCCGCCCCTTTGGAAGCTCAACAAGCTCTCACGTATCATTCTTATGAAGAGAATCCATCTCCTCCTACATAGCTACCTGCCACGAATCAGCCTCCGAACTCTGATCGGCCTCTCTGAATGTAGTAGGCACCATCTCATCGATACTCTCTACCGGAAGTCCATACGCAATTATGTTGGCATACCGTGCTGGTATCTGTATGTCTCTCCTCTGTCTGTGAACCGAAATAGAATCCTGAACCTAAGCCATCGGTCCCTGATCCTGCACATCAGTACCCGTATCCTCCGTGTCACCATCGTGCTTACTTGGCGTCACCTCAGTTGGTACTCTAATGAATACTGCACCATTTGAAAACTGTGGAGCTGCATTGATCTCCACTACCTGCGATATCTTCTTTGTCGGGTCGCTCTCCACTTGATGAGAGTTGGGAAGCTTTAAGATAGAAGCATCATCGAATGTGATGTCCCTACTCAGCATAATCTTTCTATCAACTAGATCCCATAGCTTGTATCCCTTGAAACCATGCTTGAATCCTACAAATATGACCTTCTTAGCTTGAGGTTCCAATTTATCTGTTGTCACATGATAAAATACAGGGCACCCAAATACTTTGAGCTAGTCATAATCATGTGTTGGCTCTCCCGACCACATCTCCATAGGGGTCTTCCCCTCAATCGTAGATGAAGGCAGTCTGTTAATGAGGTGGCTCGCATATGTAAGTGCCTCAGCCCAAAAGATCTTCTCCAAATAACTCTGCGACAATAAACATTCTATAGTGGTGTATGACTAACCGTGAAGTGTCTCTCTATGCCCTTGTCTTAACATAGATGCAGAAAAGGGTCTGATGTGTACTCGTCGCCGTTGTCAGATCATAACGTCTTGATCTTTCTCCCAGTCTGCAGTTCCAACCTATTCTTCCACTCTATGAATATATCTAGGACTTCACTCTTCTTTGCCATGATGTACACCCAACATTGCCTAGAATAGTCATCAACGAATGTGACGAACCAATGTCGACCATCAAGTAATGCAGTCTTGGTGGGACCCCAAATATCTGTATGCACATAATCCAGGATGCCCCTCGTCCTATGAATGGTCATCCCAAACTTCACTTTCATCTTCTTACTAAGAACACAGTGCTCACAGAATTCCACTTTACCACTCTTAGCTCCCTTCAATAGGTCCTGCTTGTACAAAGCCTGCAGTGACTTCTCTTCTGTATGCCCCAACCTATAATGCCAAAGCATGGTCATGTATGCCTCTAAAATAGCTGAAGTAACCTGGCCAATTTCGATGCTCCCCTTCAGATAATACAAGTTTCGACTGCAGACTCCCTTCATCACCAACAAAGTTCCCGTAGTAATATTTGCTACATTGTCTTCAAAGGTCACCTTGAAATCCTTTGTCTCTAAAGCTCCAACTGAGATAAGATTCTTCTTCAGCTAAGGAACGAATCTCACCTCCTTCAATTCATGGACTACTCCATCTTGCATCTGAATCCGCATGGTACCTATCCCATAAATGCTACAAGATTGATCATTTCCCATGACAACAACACCTCTTTTGAGTTTCTCAAAAGATGAAAACCAATCTCACCTAGGGGTCACATGATAGGTAGCGTTAGAATCAAGCATCCAATCTGATGCATCCAAGTGGTTCATCTCTGGAGTAATCAGTAGAGAAAAGCTCGAATCATCGGAATCATCGCCTTTCGTAATATTCACCTCATTGTCCTTCAGGCCCTTTTTCTTGCTATTCTCCTTCTCTTTGATCTTTGGACAATCTCTTTTCTAATATCCCTGCTCCTTGTAGAATGTACATTGGTTCTTTCCTAACTGGTGACGACCTCTTGACTTTGACCTTCCTCTATTACTACCTTTCGGATATGGGCTTTTACCTCTCGTCGACAAGGCCTTGCCTGAAGTACTAGCACAAAAAGTCTCCTTGTCCTTCCTCCTCAAATCATAATTCGTCAATGTATTAGTAACTTCACTATAGCTAACAGAAGACCTACTGTTCAACAAAGTGAGTACAAAGGTGTCATACTCCTCATCCGATATGGAGCCCAATAAGTTAATAGCCTTGTACTCATCCGATATCTTCTCATCAACATTCGCCAAGTCCAACAACAACTTCGTATAGTTGTTCACATGAGCCGCAAGCGAGATGCCTCTGGATATCTTAAATCTGAATAACCTACATATCAAATGCAACCTGTTCTCAACATTCTTTGTAAGGTACTTATTATTGAGAATTTCCCACATCTTCATCGCAGACGTTACCCTAATCACATCATACTTCAGCTCCTGTTCCAAATAGGACCTGATCATCCCACAAGTGTTCCTATTCATCTTTTCTCATATCGCCTCTTTATATTTTGGTGGTCTCTCGTGGACCATGATGGTCTCCTCCAAGT